GGCGCCTCGGCAACCGCAGAACTGGAACAGCGGGAGTTGAACGAACATCTCTCCTTCCTCAGAAAGAGAGCGAGCCCAGAGTGCAACTTACTTACAAACACAGATATCACGGATACAACAATAGATAAAGGCAGCAAAGCGGTCTTCCTACCTGTTTCCTCGTGAGTCTGTGTAACATAGGGTGACCATACGTGCCATTTTCCCCGGACGCGTCCTTGCCTTGGATTTGTTTTGGCTTTGTTTTTTCCTGTTTTCATGCTTGCTGAAGGTAATGATCGAAAAGTAGTTTGACCAATAACATGCAGGCATTGTACATAATGGACCAATCATGGTGTGTGTGAGAAGGTGGGATCTATGGTCAAAGCGATGCAATTACGCGTACATAGGATGTGTGTTCGACTTAAAAGCAGCGCGGCTCAGATCAATCAGTGTTTGACATCAAAGTACCTCAAGAGCATAAACTCATTGTGTCCGCCTTAGAGGAGTAAACTGCTCTATATAAACTGATGGCTTAGAACACAAGAATTTCTTTCCAACGGGCAACAGATGATTCGCTTCCTGAAGAAATTAAAATCTGATGAAATAGTGCGCAGTACGCATATATGAGCATACGTGACATAAGCGCTATTGGCCAATAAATTGGCGTGATGGTATAAGGGCTTCGTCATCGCAGCATTGAAGTGAACCTATGAGAGGGAACAGATTTACATGCGAGGAAACAGGAGCCCGCGAGCTCATTTCAAACCCTCACACGCGCGTGACATGTCTTCTGCGCGCAATACAAGCCCTCGTGCGCGCATGATCATTCCCCACATCCTCGCGTTCGATCTTTCCTCACCTGCTTGCGCAAATACTTTTATTTTTGTCAGTCGTGGGGCGGGGCTTGCTGTTTTAATTGTAACCTCAAATGTCATTGGTTATTCCTCTTTTACGGAAGTCAGTATTGGACGCCTGTTATAAAATTATTTATAATTCTCTTGACTTAAGACATGGCATCAGTGGACCAGATACATGTGAGTTATCGTTTCATTTGCTTGTTTTATTTATTTATTTTGTCTTTATTTAATGTAATTTAATGCATTGTTCATAGAGTAGATCTTTTTCAGATACTTTATTAATAGGAAGTCTTCTGTTTACTAGTGATTGCAGTCTTGTGATGATAAGAGATACACATATGAACCCTTTTTAAAGACTGTAATGATGCACACACACACACACGCACACATAAATGCATACATACATAGGCTATATATAAAGCTATAGGAATGACAGTAAAGTTTTCAAAATGTGTTTTATCTTTAATCTTGCAAATAGATACAACATCGTAATATTTGAAGGTTTGTTCAGTCTGTGTTCCTATAAAACAGGTTTCACCATGTATGCATTTGATTTACAGTGTTACTAGTCATCTGCTATCAAAATCAGTCCATTCACGATGATGTATATGAAAATTGATTCCTGTTTATTGAAAAGAAGCTTGTAATACATTCAGTTCCAATGTATTTATTTATGTTCTTTTTGTTGCATTATTCTTTTTTCCTTTGTATTTGCAGATTGTGTACTTGAATGCAGCAAATAACAACTGCCCAGTTCAAATGCTTTTACTTTCCTGAACTGGGCAGTTGTTATTTGCTGCATTCAAGTACACAAGCCCCGCCCCACGACTGACAAAAATAAGAGTGTTCGCGCGAGCAGTTGAGGAAAGATCGAGCGCGAGGATGTGGGGAATGATCATGCGCGCGCGAGGGCTTGTATTGCGCGCAGAGGACATGTCACGCGCACCCAAGGGTTTGAAATGAGTTCTCGGGCTCCCGTTTCCTCACGTGTAAATCTGTTTTCCTCTCGCGGAAGTGATTTACAGCACGCGCCAGCATCAGTGGTGTGCTCGGTTATTAATGGCATAGGATTGCCGCCATATACTCATTACAGAATACACGACCACAGCCATGAACCCAGCAGTCTCACACTTCCTCTGTCTGCGTCAAGGATGCGGAGCTTGGGCCAGGACTGACGAGACTGATTGCTAATGTGATGGACCCACCACTGATGTCAGTGCGAGCGGCTGACATCCCAGTGGTTTCTATGCTCTCAAGCCCGGCAAGCATCCCACTGTCTGCTGCACTGCCCATGATGGCGGTCACCATTTTGAGCATGTGGGCTGCACACTGCACTCCAGAGGCCTCTTCTGTCCACGAGTCTGCTCCAGGGGCCTCTTCTGTCCATGAGTCTCCTCCAGGGGCCTCTTCTGTCCACGAGTCTGCTCCAGAGGCCTCTCCTGTCCATGAGTCTGCCCCAGAGGCCTCTCATTGACACCAATCCACTCCAGTGCCTCCAGAGGTGGCGGCGTCCACTTCGGAACTCTCTGCCTGTCCTGTCATGGCCAAGGAGGCCATCCATGAACTCACTGTTTGTCCTGCCATGGCCATGGAGGCCGTTCATGAACTCATAGTCTGCCCTGTCACGACCAAAGAGGTCATTTATGAACATTCTGTCTGTCATGTTGCGGCTATGGAAGCTGCTCAAGAACTCTCTGCCTGTTCTGTCAGAGTCAAGTGGTCTGTCCATGTCTCTGCTCCGCCATGCCTTCCTGTTCTGGCTGCTCCGCCATGGCTCCATGCTCCTCTGGATCTTCTCCATGGTCCAGTGCCTCCAGTGCTTCATGGTCCAGACCCACCTCTGCTCCATTGTCTGTCACTGATCCATGGCCCAAGTCCTCCAGTGTTCCACAGTCTGCCACTGCTTTACAGCCCAGGTCCACCTCTGCTCCATTTTCTGTCACTGCTTCACAGCCCAGGTCCCCCTCCACTCCATTGTCTGTCACTGCTCCACGGCCCAGGTCCTCCAGTGTATAACTGTCTGCCACTGCACCATGGCCTTGCCCTCTGCTCCACAACCCAGGCCCACAACTGTTCTGCGATTCTGACTCTGTTCCCCTGCATGGGCATAGCCCTCCATCCCTTCCCCTATTCTGCCTCTGCTCTACCACCCTCCTGGACTTTTTGGGTTTTGTTTATGTTTTGGGGTGGGTTTTTCACTAGGGCGTCAAGTGCTGCCCTTAGAGGGGGGGATATGCAAGGTCTGTTTTGGGTTTTGTTTCATGTTCTTGTTTTCATGTCTTTTATTTTGTAATTTGATTTATGCTGTTGGTTTCATGCTTCCCTTGCCCTCATGTATTTCTGCCCTGTGTATGTGTCAAGTTCTGATTGGTTGTTATAGTCATGTGTCTTGTTCCTCATTGGTTATTGTCCTGTCATGTGGTTCTCAGTTCTGTTCCCCATTGGTTGATTCTTGTCATGTGACCCATAGAGTTTGATACAAATAGCCCTCATGTTCCCATTGTTCTTTGCCGTGTATTAATGTATGTACCTGCTGTCGGTGAGTCTAGTCTGTTCATGCTACGTCAAGTCTGTTCATGCCTCGTCAAGTCTTTGTTTGGGTCACTCTGTTAAATAAACTGCACATGGGTTCTTCAACTTGCCGTTCAGTGGACTACTCATTACAACGCATTGACTTTCACATGCTTTTCACATGTACTCTATCTTCACCATTATCAATATCGAACATGTTTCTGATCTCAGTTGTTTTGTCTCCAATTATCTGTCTCTCATATGTGGACTTTAGTTAATCAATAAAAGAAATGACGAAAGCTCAGTTTTATGTCTTCATTGGTTAAACTACAAAATATTGCGCGAAGTTCACTGAACAATAATTACATTTAATAAATAATAATAAAAATAGGCTGCTCTTTTCCTACATCTGATGTGCCATTTGACCCTATAAGTGTAATGAACAGCAGTAAGAGTCTTGGCACCACGAGTGGGCCCGAGGGGGCATGACCTGGCCACTTCGGTACCTGCGCCCCCTCACCTTGCCGATTCATGGAACATGGTTTCTATCAAGGCCCACTCTAGAAACTCAAATGCCCCTCCAGTTTGTGTGGGCTGGCGTAGACTGAGCGGTAAATTAAATGAGTAAAAGTACTTGTACTTACGTGAGTACGCTATTGAAGCTTCATTTGTAAAATCTTCTGGTAGAATGTTGCATTCTGGATCAAGTAAAACATTTCTCTGAATAATGTCTTATATATTCCCACTGTCATTGTGTCTCGAAACACTGTCATGTCTTGACTTTACTGTAAGAGCAGGACAAAAACACAGACATCCTCATTCTGACCTACAGACAAAAAAGGGAAAGAGAGAGAACTGAAAACAGCTGAATACAGTTTGGATTTTCCATGAATTGCTGTTCAGATTTTGCTTGATATTAACACCAACATATAGAAAAACAGTTACTGAAGAGACTAGCTGGATATAGATACCTACATTAAGGTTTTTGGTTGTCATATCTGGGCTCAATCCAGAAAGATCTTTCTCATAGTTCCTCTCACTCTTCTTCATCCTGACAGACTGAACAAATGCTGTGAAGAGACTGTAATATTCCCTGGCAACCTGATGGGTGGAGAGACTTTGACTTGTTACTTGTCAGACCTAATGAGCGAGTAAATGTTTAGTAAGTGGGCAGATCACGTGTTTAGCAAGAAACAAATCACAGTGGTTCCTGTTCCCAGGGTCTCTAAAATGAACAAAATAATAATAGTATCACACACAGACAGACAAACATATTGATCTCTGTATACATGGTTATTTAAACACTCAAGTTTTCTGAATTATGTCTGACACATTCCTGCTATCATTTTGACTTTATTATCATCAAGAGAACGACATGAATGCAAATTTTACATCATTCATGAACCGCAGAGAAACTGAAACACACAGAAGAAAAACATACTGTACATTGGATCTCATAAGCATATCAGCATATTTGAATACCTTGAAAGCAAATGCAGTGTGTTTACAGGATTGTTGTATTACATTATTGCATTAAATGGACCAAATGCCTTAGGCATCTATACTGATAGTAGACAGCAATACAGTATACAGATACAGTCACTTTGTTTTTTCCTCTGATGATATAGTTTTGAGGATATTTCTTTGTTAAAAGACTAATGATGGATGCATTCTTTTTTTGTGAAGCTTCAAAACCTTTGCACGTCATTTTTGGAACCAGTGATTCAGAGCTTGCATCAAACTGCCAGTGTCACATTATTTCAGTAAATGAGGCTTTGTTATAATATATATCGATACAACTTTTTACAACTTGTGAATCCAACTGTTCCAAATATAATATAAAAACCAAACAAGTCCTGCTTACAAAATATGTGTGTGCAATGTTACCTAGTTACCAGTGTGTCCACTAATATTATGTGGGAGAAAAACAACTTTCAGGGAATTTGGAAAACGCTAGATAAAGACCACGGGTAGAAAGATGTATGTGAATGCATTACTTGTTTTAATGGAGAACAAATGCTTGCACAATTGCATTGAATGTGTAAGATGTCCCCTCTCTCCAATTAAATATGTAAATGTTCATATGCCTGTATATTAATCATATAATACTTTTACCTTTCAGATTAATCTCCTTAACTGGGATTCCGCTTTGTCTGTGATCAGTTAGGATTTATTTATTCTAAATTTCGACAAGTGTTACCAAGTTACTTGTGGTCTGGGCCATTATTTTTTAGTAAAGAAAAAGAAGCAGTTTTGTTGTTTAATTTAAAACAATTGTCCAGATAGATAGTAGTTCCTGAAGACTGACTAGGTAACACTTATAACGTTAGGTAACACTAAGTAACTTATATTTTATGTCTTGACACACTAAACGGTCACTGACACAGTAAAAACATACATTTCTGTGAGGTAGACTGACAGATTGATACAGTAGGTTGTGTAAAATCAATATCACATGTGTGATCGTGTTGGTTTTAGGAAAAACAACACTTTTGCTTGTGTGATCATTCATATATCATATGTTATAAATATACAGTATATTTAACAAAAATTATTATTGGGAGATTTCTTGCCTCATACTGTACCTTGAATACTTGTATCATTTTCTGTGATTGTGGTGTCGTTTCTGCCCCAAGCCCCATTCATTTGTGACTGGAAAGCAACTACTAATTAAACAAATAGGTAAAGGTGGATCCATGGGCAGGACCTCAGTCTTGCCCACAAGCATCCTTGAAGAATTTGGACATCCATATTATGTTCTTTAACCACAAAATCACAAGCTTGTAAATCACAAGGCTTTACAGTATGTGTTAGTCCAAACTTTATTAAATAATAATAATTTGTGAAACCCATATGAAGCAATCACTACTCAGGTGTTACCTCGTCATGCCTCAGATACTACTAGGAATCTGGACTATTATTTTAAAGTAGAAAAATGTCAGTGGTCTAGATCACTAGTAGTTCCCACAGAGTAACTAACTAGGTTTCAAACATTGTTAATAGGAATGCCAGTACATTTGTTTGGTGTATTGCTTGTTTTAACAAATGAACAAATGTAAATGTAAAACATTTGGTGAATAAGTAGGTGAATTCAGTTTGATAGGGACACTTTTCCCAGTCATTTCAATTACTAAAATGTGTCCCAATCAGCCTGAATTCAGAAATGACTAAAAATATCCAAACAACCTTTACAGATTTAATTTTATTTACTCAATTTAACGGGTCTTGAACATACAAATGAAGCTTATTTACATATGAAACACAATGGTCCTCGTTTTCAGTGTATATAGCCTACCTGAGCACACTGAAGTACATTTAAGTAAATATACAAATGTTTACTAATATAGAATTGTTAAGGCAGCAACATATTGACAGGCTTATCCATCTATAACTTCAGCCAAAAATGTACCGGTTTCAAGATCACAGTCAAAATGCAGTACATAAGGCAAGGATGTAACAGTACAAAACATCAGAAAACTGTAAACATTCAGCTAAAAAAGTAACTTTTAACTTACAAAGTCAAGACACAAGGCAAAGTTATTTAAATAGCACACTTCATACACACTAGTAATTAAAAGCATTTGACATACAAGTAAAAAAAGGAAAAAGAAAGAAAGAAAAAATAAATGACAGGATACGATATAAAAGGAAAATATAAAAATAGTTATTTACATTTTTTACATTGTATTTTTTTTTCTTACAAGGTAGAAACTGAATCCATGATTACATGTGATTGTCTTATCAGTACAAATGTTGCTAATAACATCAAAACATCTAACACTTCTAAAAAATAAATGTATAAATAATAAAATAAAGATGGATATTCATGAAATGTCTTGTGCCCAGGTACGCAGTTTATAGGCACTGTTGTTTTGAGGCTATTAAGGAAATGTTACTCACACAAACATTGTTTTGTGAACCTCAATGTTCAGCAAATATGATGCTATGCAAACTAAACATATTTCCGAAAAGTCAAGCCAATGGTGATTCATGTTTTACTAGTTATTGTTGTTTTCCCTTGGAAACTCTTATCAGTTCAAGCAAGGTCATTTGTTGTGGCTTCAAGCTACTATGAGACCTTCCACTGACCTTCTCTCTTTTATTCACAGATATGACACGCATGAAAGAATGATGGAAGTGTGCCGCTTCCCGCAAAAACAACTGTACAATATATAGGCTTACGACTAGAGATGCACCGACTGCAATTTTCTTGGCCGATTCCGATTTCCAATTTTTTTGTTAGTGTGATCTGTCGATACCGATTTTTGCAGATTCCGATTTTTATTCTAAGAACTATAATTGACAGCATATAAAAACAAAAATCTACTTTTCTTCAACGCAAAGTTTTATTTACATCAAAAAAAAACAAGTAAAAAGTCGGTAATAAAATAACACAAAAAAATTGCGAACGACATCACAAATAAATGCAATAGAATAAAGAGAGCTATGAAACTACGTTTTTCAGGTTCAGTAAGTTTTTATTCAGGTAAGAAATACTACAGAAATTAAAGTAATCAAATGTAAAATAACACAGTTATCCGATCAGCGAAAACGCATGAAATGACCAGGTGTAAACAAGACCTATATTGGGTCCGTGGATAAACTCTTAAAGGGACCGCAGTCCAATATTCCTACTGCTGTCTGTCATGTTAATCAAAGACCAAAAGACAAAAAAAAAATCACTTTCTGCTCTTGACTGAATACGTTTTATAACTTTAATGGTAAGCATTAATCTGTATTAAATTTTTTACAATGAAAGCTACAGAAATTAAAGTAATCAAATGTAAAATAACACTGGATGTGTTATTTTACATTTGATTACTTTAATTTCTGTAGCTTTCATTGTAAAAAATTTAATACAGATTAATGCTTACCATTAAAGTTATAAAACGTATTCAGTCAAGAGCAGAAAGTGATTTTCTTTGTCTTTTGTTCTTTGATTATCATGACAGACAGCAGCAGGAATATTGGACTGCGGTCCCTTTAAGAGTTTATCCAAGGTCCCAATATAGGGCCTGTTTACACCTGGTCATTTCATGCGTTTTCGCTGATCGGATATCTATCTGATTTGTTAAAACGTTTCCATTTACACTTGGCCACATAAATGTGTCGTCGCAAAACGGATATAAATCCGATCTTCGATTCCCGCGCTATATTTAAGTAGTAGAGCACCTTGCGAGCTCCTGATAATTTTTAGGGAACTGACTTAAAATCCAAAACCACGAACAACCACATCACATGTCACTTTAGACTGCTAGGTAGCCTTATAGTGTGCAGATAAGGAAGATACAGAAACGCTCATTCAATCTAGTGGTTTTCTGTTCTTCAAACAAATGCTTTGTCTACTCGTCTTTTTATTTCTTTTTCTATCCGAAGCTGCTGCAGCAACAATGAAAGCACCAACCTCCTCCTCTGACTCCATGTTTAATGCAAAAGCTCATGCAGTTGCTGCAGGAAAGCAAAGCTGTACAGTTGCTTCATTTACCAACTGTTTCATCAGGACTATCAGCCTTTACCGATTCATATTGTGTACTCAAAACCTCACGAGTGGCTGCCCCGTGGCTGATTGAGCACTTTTTTCTCAAGAATACTACAATGAAAACTATAACCAATATAAGTAACACATGTAATATAATGCAAACCAAGAGCAAAGGCAGCGATGGCCCCATTCCCTCATGGTCTGTTTCTCCTTTGTTTCCTTGTTCAGTGGATACTGATTCTGAAAAAAAAAAAGTTGTACAGAAAACATTACCTCACTGTGATAAAGGCAACACAGGTCGATCTAAAATTCATAGCAGCTTTCAGACTGGAATATCACTAGTGAATCTCAAAAACTGGATCAATCACTTACAGTATTTAGATTTAAAAAACAACAACAACAACTTTAAATTAAAAACTTCACACTAATTTAAACTTAAAAACTTAGCACTAATCTACTATTTTCACATACCGTTGATGATCAGCTCTACAGTCTGATATTCAGATGAGTGTGTAATGGCACAGATGTATTGTCCTGCATCAGTGTGTTGAAGATTGTTGAGTTTGATGGAGAAATTTCCTCTCAGATACTCTTCAGGGAAAATTTCAGTTCTGTTTTTGTACTTTGGGTCCTGTGTCATTGGTGAATTACTGTGTGGAATTATATCAACTACAATTTTGCTACCATTGTGTATCCAGCTCAAATCAATGTCTTGAAGTTTAAGATCATGTTGAGTTGAAGAACACGGCAGGACAACAGAACCACCAATAACAGCCTCAACTGTGACCTGCAGACACACTGAAATCACACAAACTTTAACTGTAAACACAAAGTCTGGCATTTATGTTGTATGAATTTAACTCTCAGATGTAGTTTTTGTTCTCACCTTTGTTTATCAGCACTGCAAATACACCGATGAAGCAGCTACTGCAGAAACAGAAAAAGATTCTTAAACTTCCTCAACTTGAATAGCATGGTTCAAGCAGCAATACTGATAAAACATTTACATTTACATTTAGTAATTTAGCAGACGCTTTTATCCAAAGCGACTTACAAATGAGGACAATAAAAGCAGTCAAAACTAACAAAAGAGCAACAATATGTAAGTGCAAATGACAAGTCTCGGTTAGCCTAACGCAGTACACGTAGCAAGGTGTATATATATATATATATA